CACGCAGTGCACACATCGATCAATAGACCACAGATACGCAGTGCACACATCAATCAACAGATCACAGACACGCAGTGCACACATCGATCAATAGATTACAGACACACAGTGCACACATCGATCAACAGATCACAGACACACAGTGCACACATCGATCAATAGACCACAGATACACAGTGCACACATCGATCAATAGATCACAGACACGCAGTGCACACATCGATCAATAGATTACAGACACGCAGGCATGGGCTCCTAAGTTTCAAAACTTTGCCATCCCTCTTGAGCCAGGCTGTATTGGAATGGCCTCGTCAATGTTCCATGGGCCGTTAGTTCTTGGGGTCCTCAACCGGCCATGCCCATGTGAAAACACATTCTCCCACTCACTCACTCACTCACTCACTCACTCACTTCCTCTGCTCCCTACAAATCAGTCATCAAGGAAATACCCACAAACACACCCACAGGCCAATCTGATGGAGGTAATTCCTCCGATGAGGGTCACTCTTCCCAGGTGAACACTGACAGGATTGGCCTCCACAGAAAGCAGACCTTATTTGTAGTTGGTCCTGTGCTGTCAGCAACACCAGCCACAGAAGACACCATCTGGATTATTTTGTTACTTTTAGTTTTATTATGTGTATGAGTATTTTGTACGTGTCTGTGCACAACTGTGCAGTGCCCCTGGAGGCCAGAAGAGGGCGACAGATCCCCTGGAACTGCAGTCAGATTGTGGGCAGCCATGTGGGAGCTGGGAACCAAACCTGTCCTCTGTGAGAGCAGCCAGTGCTCTTAACCATTGACCCACATCTCCAGCCCCACCACCTGGTTATTTTTGAGGTAGATCATGGGGCTCATTACCTCCTACCTCAGGCACCACCTGCAAGAACGTTTCCAGAGGTTGGAGGAGGGCGGCTGCTGCACTGGTGTTTTGGAAGAGCTAAGGGGTGGCATTGGTTACGGGACTTGAATCTTAGGAACTCTTGTTAGACATCCTCCTCTCACCCGTTTGGGTTTTTACTGGGTAACTAAACCCACAGTGACATGTCCTGGTCAGGGTTTCTATTGCTGTGATGACACATCATGACCAAAGAAACTAGGGGAGGAAAAGGTTCAGCTTACTTACACAGCACTGTTCACCATCGAAGGAAGTCAGGACAGGAAGTCACACTGCACAGGAACCTGGAGGCAGGAGCTCATGCAGAGGCCATGGAGGAGTGCTCCTTACTGGCTTGCTCATCATGGTTTGTTTAGCCTGCTTTTATTTTCTACCCTATGGTTTTTTAAGACAGGGTTTCTCTGTGTAGCTCTAGCTGTTCTGGAACTCACTGTGTAGTCCAGGCTGGCTTCAAATCAGGGATCCACCTGCCTCTGCTGCCCAAGTGCTGGGATTAAAGGTGAGCACCACTATGCCCAGCTCTCAGCCTGCTTTCTTATAGAATCCAGGACCACCAGCCCAGGGACGGCACCAACCACAGTGAGCTAGGCCTTCCCTCATGAGTTACTAAATAAGAAAATGCTGCCAGGTTGTAGTGGCACAAGACTTTAATCCCAGCACTTGAAAGGCAGAGGCAGGTGGATCTCTGAGTTCGAAGCCAGCCTGGCCTACAGATCGAGTTCCAAGATAGCCAGGGCTACACACAAACTGTCTCAGAAAAAAATAAATAAATTGGGGGGAGGGGAGGAGTGCCCTCAGGCTTTCCTACAGCCTGATCTTCTGGAGGTGTTTTCTTGGTCAAGGCTCCCTCCTCTCAGATGACTTGAGCTTCTGTCAAGTTGACATAAACTACCTGAGGTTGACAGGAAGGGGACTCTGATGGTAACTGAGTGGGGGACCTAGCAAGGCTTGTCTGGAGTTTTTCTAGATTTCTCTGTGAATGTCTCCTACCAGGATTGGGCCAAATTTCTTCAGAAATGGGGATCTCAAGCAGGAAAGATGGCTAAGTGGTAAGAGCACCTGATGCTCTCAGAGAAGACCCAGGTTTGATGCCCAGCCCTCAGGTCAGGTAGCTCTCATGACCACCTCTAACTCCAGTTCCAATCACAATGCCCTCTTCTGGCCGCCATGGGTATCGCACCTGTGGTGCATTTACGTACATGCAGTCAAAATACACACACGCAATAATCTGAAAATAAAAATAAGGAACCTAATAGACTGAAGCATTCGGCCTTATCTAAAGCACTCCAGCCTCATGTGAGGACCTGACCTTGGCAAAGCCTCTCGCCTAAGTCTTGGACTGTTTTCTGCAGAGATCACCCTCCTTGACAACTCCGAGTACAGAGATGCACAGGGAGGGAGGGGTACCAAAGCTGAGGCTGTGCAGCTGCTCCTCCTCAGCAGTCCTGGGCTCTGACGCGTTTCTATGAAGACATCTTCCATTTCCCCAGGTGACCAAGAGTCCTGCCCTTCTGAGCCACACCTGCCCACAGGGCCTCCCAGTCACAGGAAAACCAGCACAGACTCAGGGTGGGCAGGACTTTTGTACACATGTGGAGAACTCAGCCACTCAGAACTGCTTGACACTCAGTGTCACGTCAAGGCTCTGAGGACACACAGGTGCCCAGGCCTGCTAGAGAAGACAGTCCCTCAGACAACACAATGCAGCATGGGAAAAAGGTCATTCTGGGTGCATGTGGGAAGCAGAACTCAGTATTTGAGACAGGTCAGTGTGAACCTTCCAGTCAGGTGGACCTGGGTGTGAACACCCCTCGGAATGCCTGTGAGGACTGAGGAGGCGGGCTGCACACCAGCATTCTAAAGCAACTCAACTGCCAGGATCTGAAATCTCAAACCAGCAACACAGGTTCCAGCCTCTGCCAGGCCAGAACGGTCAGGGCCATGGGCAGGTGCCTCATCCAGGCCTGGCCCTGAAGACACTATGTTGCTCACTCTGGCCTGTCACACTCTCACCCAACCCCTCCTGCCCCTGCCCCTCCGGGGATCCAGGGACGTGACCAAGAACCTCAGGATAAACATGAACAGGTACAGATCCATGTCTGAGGTAAGAAACTTCACACATGACCTTCTGAACTCAGATCAAACAGGAGAAAAGAAGACAGCCTTCAGTCCTGCCCTGGGTGATGCTGTGTCCTTTCATCTCCCCC